GCCATCACGTTTACAAGCTAAGTTCACTTACAGTGTGCGTACAAATCAATGAACATCGACCAAGTCATTGTGTCATTACACGAAAGCAACATTAACAAAAGAAATGCCCAATACGATGACATGAACCTGATGGCAAACGGTCGCACCGCAGCCGTATTCTCTCTATTAGTAACAAAACGGAACCTGTTTTTCGCTATCTGTGAAGTACAAATAAGCGCGACTTGAACTTCAGGTGAGACCTTGACTGGCTGCATAAAATACAAACCACGTTATAGGCCATGTAGGTCGGCTAGTCCTTTGAGAGAAGTCGTACGAAAATGAGAACTGGTAAAACGAAAAGTATGAAGAAATAGTAGCCGACATACACTGGCAGGCCTCAAGGAGAGCGCAGGCGCCAAATATTTCTAGTCAAAAGCATTTCGATAAACGAAGAAAAAGCAGAAGAAAAAAGCTGGACGTCGATATTTTGGGAACGGAATGGACAAAGAGATATCGCGTTGGTTCATAGCTAACAGTTTGGCTGGCGACGGTATACTCCTTCTGTTGCTCAGGAGGCTTAGGATAAAATTTCGACGCAGATACAACAATACCATGATAAGAACAAACGGGAAAGAAACCCGAACATTTAAAGGTGGGATATTATAGGAGCAAAGCATAAGGGCGAAAATATGTACAATCCCGCAGGCTTACCCGTAATGGCAAAACGAATATATATCATAACCTGAATGCATAGAGAGAATTTTATTATTATTATTATTATTATCCAATTATCAATAGAGCTTGTTAAACACACATGTAGAATAAACGATGAATTTTGTGTTTAGGAATAAGCATCCTGTTAGTAAAAATATACGTTTGTGTAAGCTAGCACAAAATAACACCTGATGTTATATGAGATAGGTGTTTTTACTTTGTCCAGACTCGGTGGTCCCGTGTGATCCTGATGAGCTTAAAAAGAGCATAGATTTGGTACCTTAAAAGAGTTACAATCAAAGGAATAGGTTGCTTCATCTCCTTCATTTGGTTCGTGGTTAGTTTTCGAACACCCGATATATTTGTATACATAGATAATTACTGAGGGACAAGCAATCGCTAACAAGTTAATGGGGTTTTAAGTAGTAAGAAACACTATAGGTTTTTTTTTAATGTGCCCAGGTTGAAACTACCTTACAGAAAGACATCGACTTGGGCCTGAAAGTTGGGTGTAGGCCTCTGCTGCATTCGTTATTACTTCTTTCCAACTTCAATGCTACCACGAAATAGCCCACGTCTAACGAGTAGAATTTTGACAGTTCGCCTTCAACTAGTCCTTTGCATATTCATTATAAGTACATATACGTGCAAATGCTTGTAGATTTGCATGAATATCTTGATCATGTGATTTAGTAACTCACGCGCGCTTTTAACCTGGAATCAGATAGTACATACGATATTTTTTTTTTACTTGGCCGTCTCTATACGACGCAGCCGTCATCGGCCGATAAAGGTTCTAGACTTTTACGTGTCGTATACAGCAGCTAACAATGTAACGGCTCGTTCATCATTTATTCATCCCGTGCAAGATTTGCAGTTGGTAGATATCACGACACTGTTACAGAAACCAAAACACCTATTGCTCTGAACAATCAGCTAATTGCTCTCTTATCAACCGGCGATACTTTGGTCGATAATCTAAATAAGTAACATAATAGACACATGTATATATATATGGTGCCAAATTTATCGAATATCTATCAGTCTCTGTCCTAGTATACACACATTTATGCAATAATAAATAATAGAGACATTGTTATACAGATTTTTTTTTTTTCGTAATGATCGCTGTTCGTATCTAATCGGAATCAATCCATAAAGCATCCGGAACAAATTGAGGCCGCTTGATTGTAAGCTGCACCCACCTGAAAATGGATACCCATTTTCAGGTGGGTGCACCCACAAAATGCTTTCCAGGCGCCAAGAGATATGTACATTTCAAAAGTAAAAATTACTTATTTTTATTATGATTTAACTACTGAATCTAAACTTCTTCCAAGTGATGTAAAAACTACATCGAGTAACTCTTTGTAGTAACCGAAATAGACGGACACGTCAGATACGAAAAATCTAGTAGATTTAAATTTTAAGCTGATGCGCCAAACCGAACGTCCCAGATATTTATAGACCCACAAGACTTCAAAAGGCACAAAAAAGGCGAGACGTTTGGCCATACTTTGACGATTCAATTCGAGATACAGGCCTATTTTTGCAACGACCGCCAATTTCTTCATCGAAATAGCACGATCATCAGAAATCGTGCCTTGTACCATTTACATGGTCTTTAAGTCTTCTCTATTGTTGTTTTGCGCTTTAGTTTAGAGAAATCTTTTCCAGAAGCTTGCGACAACATATATCATCGGTTAACCGGGGTTCGTCCCTTGCGAAGGCACTGTAACAATGGCTGACGTTAATAGTCTACACACAAACCTTCAAACTCTCGCCATAGTACATTCGCTAGTTTAACGAGACCAATTAGATAAAAACAATATAAAAATATGAATGTCTGTTCAGTATATATTCCATAACCTACAAGAACAATGTATGTACCACGTTGCCCTTAGGCTTTTGAATTTAATATTGGCTTTAGATTGAGCGCGACTTCGCGATCAAGACTGAGACGCGTTATAACCGCAGGGCAAATATTCTCCGAGAGTCGTCGGCTGATCACAACTTAAGATGGAGGACCTTTTCCATTAACGTTTGTTGCGTGTGAAGATGTTTTTGATGCACTGCGTAACAGCAGTAGTGTGCCAATTGGCGTTTACGTCATCGTTACGCCTTTGAAGTTCATCCGTTCTTCTTCATTAGGAAATTGTAATTACTCGAGAGCGTACAATGCGGCTAATTTTTGGCTTCATGAAACCTATCTTACCAACATAGATTTAGCTAAAAGTCCATATGCTGGATCCTTTGGAAAAACAGTGAGAGTTAATCAGTACACGCGTAGTTGGCCCATGATAACTAGAAGGTTGCATGTTTATCATATCACTGAAGGCTCGTATCAGGAAGGCGACAGCTTCACGTGAAAAAATGATAATTCATCCCGTTGGAGATTCGTTTACTTAGTGCTAGTTTAGGTAGTAGCACAGAATCACCGCGCATAGGAATAGAGAATTACAAATATACATAGAAGCGACGCTTGGACCGACTCGTTGTCTAGGCAACGTTTGCGTCACCTTAGCGTGACGGAATTGACGTTTACGCTAAGCGAGTACACCTTTGTCGCAAGGCCACGTTCAAATGATCGCTCACCATGAGCGAGCAAAGTATAAACGAAGAGAAAACGAATCGACGGAAACCAGAAGGCGTCAGGAGGTAACTATTAATTTGGCCTTCTTCCCTGTCATACAGCGTCACTTCTAGCTGCTTCTATTGAACTAAACGAAGCAGAACTAACCAAAACACTTGACTTGAGTTCATCTCCAAAAAAACACAACAGACGATACAAACAACAGTCCACATAAGATAGAATAGTCTGAAAAAAACAAACAAAAAGCTTCAGGTTGAATTGACTGCGGCCATTTTTTTCGCTGCTTGCCCCGTGTTTTTGTTACCGGTCTAACAGAGGCTAAAGACGACCTCCATCCCTGCAAAGTGGCGGTTAAAGTAGCTTGCTTTTCCTTTCGATATAATGCTTGTGTCCAAGTGTGAAAAGAGCGCGAAAGGGGGGGATTAAGGGGAACGCTAGTGTCGGACACACACACAACAACAGATCGAGTTTATACGAACGTGTGCAATATTTCGGCCTATATGCGGGTCGTCCTTACGGACACCGGTCCGTTTGTGTATCCAGTGAGTCCATCTCATTTCTCTACTAGCTATGCCAGAACGTTCGTATTTATCGCCGTTCATAGATGTCCTGTCAGGTAACCTAGCTAATATCGTTTTGTCAGTTATTTTCAAAGGAAATCTAGTTGGATACTCGAAAAGCAGTACGATGCTCTCCAGACAGTATATGTACACCATACAAACGTGAACAAAGACCTTTCATGTGACATGCTGCCATCAACAAAATCTAAATAGCTACAGATATATATATATATATATATGTATTGGCGTTCTTCATATGATTACGCCATGCTATTGAATAGGCTGCATGCAGCGAGCTGAGAACGATCTGACTGGCGTTATTGTGCTACTGTTTTACAATATATTAGTGTCCTGATCGGAGACGTAAGCACATTGATTGTTCCGGAAGGCACGCTCGCTGAAGAACTACACAATGACGTAATAAATTACCTGTGAAAGGTTGTCGCTGCTTCAAAACAACAGCAGCAGCAACAACAAGTATATGGCTCGATTTATATTGCTTGCGTCGTACAACTGGACGGCAATTGCCATTGAGCGTTTGCCAAAGGTCTTCACGAGCACCACGCTTCGAGTTGCAACGTTAGTAAGCAGCCATTCCACAAGGGAAACAATCACGAAACTCACAGAGTCAACGCTTTGGCAATTGGACAGTGAAATGGTAGAGTCACGAGGCTGGAGCGGGCCTGCACGTTTGCGATATTCATCTCAATGACGCACCCTTTAACAAAGTGTACGTCGCATTCTACGCACGAGACCCTGGCCAGAAGGAAGTAACGGTTTGCTAGTGTTATCGCCATGAGGGTTCGGGTATCAAAGAATTCGGCAAGTCAAGCAACGAGACTGAAGACCGGCGAACGGCTGTTGAACGCGACAACTCTAGAAACGAATCTATGACGTTTGCCGACGCCATCACTACCTCTAGGTTTAATAGCGAAGTATTAACAACTGACTGATACCAGCCCGTCTCAGCTACCATGGCCTGTTCTTTTGCTAGCTCTGTTGGTGCTGCTATTACTGATTGAGTAGGTCGCCTTTGAAGTAGGCACTCATCATGAAATTAGCAGAAAAAGAATAGATTGTTTCTGCAATTTATCTCTCTTTCTGTGTCCAGATGCTGATTTTGTTTATTGTATTCGTCTGTCTATGTATTACAGGAGCCCATCACTCATCACCACTAGCGCTGCACTCCTTGTACATCTAGCTAGACTTGACAGGTAGTATTTTGCACAATTATGAGACGGGCGTAAGGTAGCAACATTTTTAGCCATTTCGATATTTGACGATCTCCTGGATTCATTTTAAATCATCAGATAGAAAGAGAAAATGATGCGGAAGGCAAGATGATCTTATTTCAACGGGTTAGCGACAACTAGCGGCGAGCTTTGTTCATAACATGAAAGTTCAATTGAAGGTTCCGTTATCTCAAACCTGCGTCTTTTTTTTTTTTACCAAATAACTAATTTTAGAACATCCGAAAATAAGTTTACCCTGTGAAACGTTGTACCCGTACACTTGGCCTGTTACAGAGTCGATAATAGGCTTCGTCCACGGATGAATCATTCTAACCAAAATTGTCACGCTGCGGATGTCCACCACTACTACGGTTAAAGACTTAATGCCAGTCTAATGTTTGTTGTGGGAATTTGCGTATTTTTCCCAAACGATTCCCATTGTGGTAAGTTGAATAGTGTTTCGTCGAGTTTACGAAAACGGTTGGCGCATCGGCTAGATGCAATAGGGATCACAACAATCATTTATGGTACTTACCGCGTTTGTAGGAGAGATGTTATTAAAAAAAAAAAAAGAAAAACCTGTTTAATCCAATAAACTTAACTTTTACTCATCTGCTGAACCAGAAATATTTCAGTTCAGCTGTGTGCAACTTGAGATACTGGAATATATTATGAAAAATGCTGTTTATGGATTAGCGCGAACGGACACACATTGACGTATATAAAACATTAAAAACGATTGCGCTCAATAGAGATCGTCCACGTACCCATTTCAGACAAATGCCATCAGATATATTGGCTAAATGGTAATACCCATAATCTGTGGTTAACGACAGATTCAGTAGACACGCCTCTTCTCTGTTCCATTGCTTCCCTTGTGGGTAATACCTGCAATGCGCTCGCAAGCATTTGGTGGTTACTTTTCCATTGACGTTGTTATTTACGTCGGCTTAATTAGTGAAAGCGCGTATAAAATGTTCATACGCCATCGTTTCTAGGTCCTTGATCGCATACTGCATCTTTAGACAAGTGGAAATATTCTATCTAGATAGAGGAGGCCAATTGTTTTTCCCATGATCAGAAGCCTATCTGCCTATATACCGTAAAGTTCCGCTTGTTCTATTTCGCCAAATGCTTTGATCAACTTTTGTATTAAAAAAAAAGCATATTTTTTGATCCCTGTTAAGAGTATTGTATAGTATCTGTCCACTTAAGGTGTAGCTAGCGAGCAGGCCTATAGTACCGGGCGCTCTATAGCGATCTCCCAGCCACTTTGTGAAGTACTCGAACGGGTTCTTCTCTCATTCCTGGCCGAATCTTGTATATTTGGGCAGAATCAATATGGCTTCGGTAAGCAGTATGATGTGATGCTGCCTATGATGCAATACCCTGATGCGCTACGTAAAGCTATAAATACGAGCAAGAATTCTACTAAAATTATGGCGGACTTGTGTAAATCTTTCGACTTTATCCGCTCATAGATATTTCACCAAAACGTAGCGCCCGCAAATTTTCCGAAACTTTTATTTAGATATATATAAATACGCTTTGAGTTTTACATCAAGTGACTGCCGGAACGACGTTACCTACCGTTTTATAGCTGAGCGAACTTTACGGGTGGATACCTAGATGTTCCGTGAATGAAGTACGAAGTTCCTCATGGTGATCGGCTGGACTTAATTTTGTTGTTGTCGTCGTCGCTAGACACTAATTGTTTACCAAATACTCTAAAAAAGTAAAGCATAGTTGTATTTTTGTCCCATTACATATCCTGCTTGTATGATTCTTATATTTATAATGAGCCTGTCACTAAACTGGCCAAGACTTGTGTCTAAAACGTTTGATAAAACCCTTGCCTAAATGCGGGCACAAACATCACGCGATTTCGACCGAAACTCGCCGGAGCCACCGCGTGTGTAACTAGGGTCAAACAAGTTGCCAAAGTTCTCTTTCCCTTTTAACTAAACTTTTCTTAGTTCTTAATTGGCAAGAATGCCTCAAAACATTTTAACTCCAGTCCCGCTACCCGGACCCGGTCCTGTCTTCCCTTTGTGTTCAAGCGCATTTTTCAGCTACCCTTCCCACACATATAGGGCCAATATTTAATTCCTGCAACATACAATTTAATTGCCATTAAACTTATGTGTTGTGCCCTAATTCACAAGACGTTGTTTTTTTTTATCGGAATGACAGTAGTTAGATTGTTGTTTCCTTAATTATTATAAATCTGAATAGATAAACTCTTTCTCTGGATTAGTCATCACTTGAGTTTTTACTAGTTAATGTGAATTTCTAGTTACGTTAGTTGTACTCGAGTGTTACACCGTGTACGACTTTTTGTTCTAGATAAGGAAAATCATTAGAAATAATTATATAACGATTGCGACGACTGCCCCCATCAAAGCCATTATCCTAGCTGCAAGCCCCCTTTTTTTTTCGTTTCAGTTTTATTCTTAGCAAAATATTTGGTGTTTTATTTAGACATTACAGGCAGATGTTTACTCACGGGTACCGAAATTAACTTGTTGTATCCGCTGTTCGATGCTCGTTTTAATGTAGTATTTGTTTTTGGGTATTGTCATCTCGATAAACGATGTGGTACGTGGCCTAAAGCTCGTCTCTCAGTGGCTCGATGCTCCACTATTTAGAAGATATTGGTTGTAGAATATTGAATAGTCTGGGATAGTCTAACCTCGCGTCTCCGTGCTTCATTTGCATTCTGCCAAAGAGTGGTCTGTTATCGAGATTGAAAATCTTCACCGAAGTTACTGTTCGTATTGCTGTTAGGCCGCCGTTGTTTCTGCGATGAGGCTGTAATCGCTTGCTTTACCACGCACAGTTTGATACGGTAATAGATTCTAGGCGTACCGCTCGAAACGAGCGGCCATGTTTACCTTCAAGTGTGTGATCAGCGTTCGATCGATGATAGTACGAAGTTTATGCGACGATGCGGTAACGTTTACCTCACATTTAAAGTCGTAGCTATATCCGCTTGCTAGTGAATGCGGCCACACCTTTTTCCTTGTGGGTAACACAGTGATGAAATAGAATCTTTTACCAGATATGTCGCCTTGACAGGGAGCGGATATGAAGAAACGGCGACTGTTGCCATCGGATGATCCAGTGGACGACGATGCAGAATCGCCAAACGTCCACCTGAGTGTGGCGTTCGCTCCGCGTAGGCAATAGCTGGCATCCAGCCCGCCACATTTAATTTGCTGATCGTAGACACATTTCACCTCACCGGCCTTTTCAAACGAATCAGCCTTTTTTTTTACTTTCAAAACTGTGTATCAACTGCTCTTGCTGATCTCAGGTCGTCTCTCATTGGCCGCAAGTATTTTTCCAGTAGGATCGATACAAGCGCGAAAAGATTGACTTCAATTCATCTATGTTACTGTTTGTGACCGACGTAATTGTCTGTAACTAGCAGACGTAGCAACGTCTACCCAGTATAGATCTCTGGCTGTGACAATCCACTAACTGATCGGTTTATATAATAAATAGTTCGTTGTTTTAACGGCAACGTCATAAAAAGAATTTCTACTTTGTAGCAAGCATCTCATATACATGGAGATATTGATTTAGTCTCTCGGGTCTTCACCTTTTGAAACAATGATAAGTAAGCGTGTCAGGAAGAAATGTTAAAAGATACTTTGTAACATGACGGCCTTTGAAGGACAACAGTGGACCACATCTAATAGCTGAAACTACTTTATCTTCTCTAGATAACAGAAATGCCACAATTTTCTATTCCAAAAAAAAAGCCTTTACAAATGGGAGAGCAGATCAGTAGTCTCATTTTTTTTCTTTTCAAAAGTTTATTTGAATAAACCGCATAAATCTGTTGGATAGGAATACAAAATGGAATCCTTTATCTAATCTACTCATGTTAACAATAATTATCTTAAAATTACCCGCTGACAAGAGCGACACGCAGAATCCAGATTACCCCCTTCCCTTAGACCGCAATGGCAGACGTTGTTTTTGCTTTGCTGCAGCTTTCAGTAGTAATGTCCCCGCAACACTTTAGTGGGTAACTTACTTACGTCCTAATCTTAGAGTCACGTTGTCGTCGAGGTTCGAACCAAGCCGTAGGCACGCCTTGTTCGTGCTGGGAGCAGCCTTCTGATATTATGCTTAACGGCGACACCGGACATGAAGCTCGAAACATAGAGGTCTCCAATATCGATGCTGTCGCCCAGGACGTCATCGAATCAGCACCATGTATTTCGAGATGTGTCCGAAAAACACTGAAGTCAAGCCTTAATGTAACGGCAACTTTTTATAAGTTCTATTATTATTTGCTATTGATATTGGTGTTAAATGATATGACGAATTAGATAGCCGGCGCCGTCGAGGTATCCTCATCAGGTACAAATAATAAGTCCAACAGTAGCAAAATCGTATTTGTTTTGATGTCGACCCGACATCCTGCCGATGTGCTTAGCGATCGGTCTTAACGTAAGTGCCCGTGTACGAGTGGGTTCAGGTTCTGGGTGAGGTCCTCCCAAACGTCCGTTTATTTAATTGGGTCACTTGTGCACTTGACAGCTGACGGACTGCGACTTATTGGCGGCCATGATCAACCCCCATTATTATAAGAACGCTGCGTCTTTTGTTATCCGCTACTTTCGTCATTTTCATTAAACCTCCGATATGCTACAACGCTTATTGTATCCAAAAATTCCTTCGTCGTCTACCAACTGAAAGCTGTTTTGTTACTCTAATTAAGGCCAGCAGTTGTCGCAGTAATAATGGTCGATGAAAGGACCTGTTCAGGAGCTAAATTTGCTCTAGCTCTGCAATGGTCGTTCATCTATAATTTTTTGCCATCTGTATTCGTATCTGGGGCCTGAACTGTTTGCTTTCTTTTCCGATTTGTCAGTGATTAATTATCTGAACAATCTTCGAGAAATTCAAGTGAGCAACGATTCGAAGAAGCCGTAAGAATCTGACAATGACTGATCGGAATATATTGC